TTCTATTATTACAACAAATTGGACAGGGATCCCATTCTCGTATTTCCCGTAGATCCCTCCAAACTATTTCTCGGATGGAACGAGTTTCGAATGAGTTACCGTTGCACGCATTAAGCCGTTTGCAACGAGAACCGCGCGGACGCGCGCGCGCGCGCGCGCGCTCGCGGAAGGTGCGCGCAGAGAGAAGTTACTGCTAGCCTGCGCGAAGTGATTTCAGAGGAGCGAGATATTTCAGACTCCAGAAATGGTGAAATAAAGCGGCCGACGCGTTGCGCTGTTCATGGCTCGTTATTATGCTATGTGCCTTGTACCACGTGGGTTCACTGAAGCCGCGAAATAGAGAGACGTGAGATAGGGGGTGGCGGTGAAATAAATGTAGGAACAAGACGGACAGAGGCGTCGAGTCTTGAGAAAATGAGAAGGGGATGAGACGCGATGAGAAAGAGAGTAAGTGAGAAAGAGCAAACCGTCGACATACCGACCGACGAGACACAGCAGTGCGCTGCGAAAAGGAGAACGACGAGTAAAAACGAACAAGCCAAAGTGCTGAATTAGACGATGCATAAAAGGAAGGAAATGATTCCATCTGACGGAGAGCGTAAAGAGACGCGAGCTTGGCAACCAAGGAACGAGGGAAGTGGCGAAGAGGAAAGGAACGAGTAAATTTGCAATTAGGCGAGTCGATTTTTGCATATACATATATATATATATATATATATATATATATATATATATATATATATATATATATATATACACAATGTATATGTGTGTGTATATGTATATCTAAACTAACGTTGGGAGTTGTAAATCAAATTTAGAAAATATTTTTATTTCGACGCGCGCGCGCGCTCCTGTTACTCGCCGCAGTGCCGATTGTGTTAGCCGCCGCGAGCTCACCGGAAGGGATTAATTGCGACGCAGGCGCGCAACAAAGCGCAAAAACAAGAGTTAATATAATCCGTGAAATGATCGAAACGCGAGAGCGTTGAAAGATGAAAACCAAACAGCTGCTGCAACATCGGGGGATTGATGCCGGCGGTATTTTCGAATGACGAGCAGCGCGATGAAAGAACGAGCTGGCGTGTGAGCTTGCGAGCAGGCAAACGAATGCGCGTAAAGTGGCAAGGTAGAAACGAATCAACTCAAATAAGCGACGACGCGGCGGATAATGAGAGAGCGCGCGGGTCGATAGAAACGCGAGAGCGAATCGCAAAATAGGCAAACTCGCGAGAATCAAAAGCGGAAGAAACGGTGGAAAAGAGAAAGAGAGAGAGAGAGAGCGAAAAGGACTGTACTTTCCTGTATAAAATGCCTGGCGCCTTTGCGGGTTTCACAATGCGTATTTGCCAGCGGCCGCAAAGCGAGTATCCGAGAATATGGTGGTGTCGTTGCCATAAATAGGTCCGCGTAAGCACCTGTCGGACTAAGCAGGCGAAACTCTTATTATTCCGACGGGGTTGTAACGGCGAATCACGGACTCTTCTCGCGCGTGTGAATACCGTCAGTGATTTCTAATCCGCGTTTGCGAAAATAATCTCCCGGCGGCACGCGAGACGTCTCTCCCTCTCCCGGACTTCTCGGATTGTTCGGGCTTCTTTTCGCGAGAAAACCACGGGCTTTACCGATCCTCCCATCCCTCCTTTGTGTTCTTCCGCGTGACCTCGCTCGTACGCTTTCCACTTGGAAAGCGAAGCGGCGAAAATCGAGGAAGGATGGTCGTCGAGATGAGAAATGCCGCGTTGCGGGTGTGTTTTAACACGGTTCACTGGGTCGCGGTTATGCGGGTTCTTAACGGGTGATAGCGGCGCGACGGCTTCTAGTTTATTTATGGATGGGGTATTATCGATACGTTAATATGTGCGAATATTACCACGAGAGGTTGATCGTAAAGATATTGAGCCATATATATATATCTCCCTCCCCTTTCTCTCTCTATCTCTCTCTTACTTAGTTATAATAAAGTTTTTTCCTTTACTTTCTGATCCCTCTCGTTTTAAACCACTCGAGGTCGAAAATGATGACGCTTTTATTTCTCTTGTGACGATATACGTTTATATTTTTACTCCGAATTATGCCGCGACCGTAAATACGCTTGACGTGCACACAAATGAGATCGTAAATGAAAACTCATTTCGCATCGTAAACGTCGCGGCGACCCGGGCTTTTTTCGAATGCAGCCGGTTCGAAATCCGCGGACGTTGATGTTTTGACGTTGGCCCCCATAAAGTGCATTAGTGACGACGTCCATCGGCGAAAGCTCGTGATATTTTTTATCACGCACTACCCTCACACCCTAACTTCCGAGCGGCTGCGCGCTCGCTCTTCCTTTTCTCGCTTTTTTTTTTCGAAATAGCGTCGACTATTGAATTACTTACATACGCTTCGTCAGCTGTAACTTAAAAACGCCATGCCGGGTACAATACAATCCACTACGCTACAAGCACATCGGAAATACTGTGAAAAATGCAGTGTCACGTTACTGTCAAATCGTTGATGAATCGTAGAAACATTTTTATCGCACGTGAGATTGTTTGGAAGACGTCGTGTGTATACAGTTAAATGTATACCATTGAGATTCGCGAGTATAGGAAGACGAAGAATATTGGATTTCAGCAAATCCGTTACTGTGACATGTTAAAGAAATGAGAGATGTCGCGGGTAAATGAGAGTGCTAATACGATCATCCGTTATGTTGCGAGAATAAATATCGTTACTGGCGATGAGCCAATTACGTTTACTGTTCCTGTCATGTTCCTTAATTACCATCGAGAGCTTTCCGATGAAATAACTCGTCGCCGGATATAGTAGATCGTGACGTATCGAAGAAGCGTATTCGACTACGTCGCGTATCGTATAGAAATTTCTTACAAAAAATCAATCATTTCCAACTCTTTTCCTACAATTATACATACAGTGTAATCAGGGTCTTGTTAGAATTATATAACTTCGTAGAAACATATTTTATTTCTTATGCATTTTTGTTACACTTGTTGATGATAGGAGTGAGAACATTAAAAGCTATAAACTGCCCGTGAAACTCAAAGTGGGCCAAAATGAGAGAGCATGACCTAAATATTTTTTGTACTTCTACATTTGTGCCAAATTAGAAAGAAATTGGAGTGTAACTTTTGAGTAGGTTTCCTTGTGGGTCTCAAGTAGATTTCAAGAAATGTTCCCTGCGGTGTATACTCGCTCAGTCGTGGTTTCCTCTCAATTCGTCACTTCGTCCAATTAATCATTCGAGCCGTCGACGCGTGTTTTTACGATTGGAAGTGATGAAGAGTACACGGCGGCCGTGAGGTCGTTATACTTGACCCGCGATCAAAAGCGACTTCCAACGCGTTAACTATGCTCCTTGAAATACGCGTTCGCGAACGTACTCCGGCTAAACACACACTCCGGATTCGGGACGGCTATTCTCCTGTAAGACCGATCTATCAAAGCCGACCGAAGCGAAAGCTTGATACGGCCGAATTTCCCGCGAGGGCCACCACGGCTCGCGGCCCGCCAACGGACAGCCGCGCTTGCCGGAATTATGGTTCCCTTATGCTCCCATTACGGGACCATCCACGGTTATGTTCTCGCACCGACCATTCCCGCTCCATCTGCCCTCTTTCCCTGGTTGCCCCCGCGCAAACAACCTCCATGGGGCATTTTTGGCCCTTGATCGATGTTGGCCTTTTAATGGCTCCGCATGCGGAGAGGCCGTTTGCTGCGCGCGCTGTGTTTGGGACGCGTTCATGTTCACTCGGTGTTGACTCGGGCGAGATTTGATGGACAATATCGTAATGTAGTTGCCGGAATAATTTCGTAGTAGTGATACCGTCAGCCGGGTCGTGCCGGGCCCTGGCGCCGGTAGTATCCTTGGTCCGTTGATCGATGTTGACGTTTATGCGTTATCGTTAATGGAGAAACGGATGACGCTTTTGTGGCAGCGGCAGAGCTTGTGTTTTATTTACAATCCTGTTATCGGGAAAGCGATGATATTGGGATACATATTGGGGTACGCACATATCTCGACCGAATTCGTTTTAATCGAGTACATTTGTACAGAATGTACCTTTTTTCGCGCTATGCACATTTTCACCTATACTTCGCACGTTTTGTTCACACGCGCACACATGCGCATCTCGTGGAAATATCAGAAAATTTATTTCAGTCAGTTTTTCACGATATTATGACGTGTTTACATTCAGGTTAGTCAATTTATTGCGTCTCAGTAACGATGACATGATAAAATTTGTCGATCTAAATGAAAAATAAATTTGCGAGTTCTATATAATTTACAATCTATATATGTATATGAAGTATAAAATTTAATTTTGCATATTGCACCGTAATTCGTGATCGGTGCGGGAAATGTCATCGAAACTCGTGACAGTCTATTACAAGTGCGATTTACATTTTGTATATATGCGTCTTATGTATATCTATATCCGATGTTGCGTACTGTCAATGCTGCTTTCTCAATGTTTGTGCGTATATTTAGTGCACCTAATGTTGGAGTTGCTAAATTGTCTATGACTAACTTGCATTCCGGCAAGTATCCATCTCGTGTTACACCGATCGAATTTTTTGTTCGATAAATGAAGCAGTCAAGCCGATTAATAGATTTCTTCGTGATCATTTTTGCTTGCTTCGAGTGTAGAAATGTTGGGTGAAAATTTAATAGGTTCATTAAGTGAACAGAATAAATTCTTAGCACAGTCGTTTTTTCCGAATCGAGAAGAAGTCAGGAAAATTGGAACTGTCACTTCTGCTTTGTGTGTGTGCATATAGATTAAGAGTACATTCACTATCAGTATTGAATATTTTCTGCGCGATTAATATCTCCGATGGAGATGAATGTGCTCGTGTACACGAATATTTCAGGGGCGCAATCTCGATGTCACATTCCATTTGATTGTCGCGGGAATGGACAGGTTCTATTATCATGTCATGTCGAGATGGTGCGATCGCAGTTCTCTAAAACGCTGCAATTTTATCTTTCATTTTAGATCCTAAATTCAAGGAGCCGATAGCCAATGTAACCGCGTCGGTGGGCAGGGAAGCCATTCTCTCCTGCGTAGTTCAAGACCTGGCCGGATACAAGGTAATTCGAATTTTTATGGATATATCTGAATGTGCGCTCTATCTCGGCAGATTAATTTTTCATTAAAGTTATGGACGCTGTTATGTGCCAATCAAACGTAATGTAAATTTCAGCATTGGCTAAAACTTTTATACACTGAGAGAAAACTGTATGATATTTGGAACTATAATGGCATAATAAAAAAATTATATTTAGAAATATAATTTTTATAGTAAATGTTACCATATTATTTGTAATATTTACAATATAAGCATAGTATAACTGACTCGTATAAAATTTTTACCAAGAATTATAATTGTTTGAAATAAAAAATATAGTAAGGTAGCAAATATTGAATGGTAAGAGAAATTAACTATTTTATATAGTCAATACAATTGGAATATTTGGCAAATATAGGTACATGTAACTATATTCCCAAAAGGTGCTTTACCATATATATAGAGTAATAAGATGGTGACTATAAATCTGTGTTCATTCTACTATATCTTTATGTTTAGATGAACTATAAATATATATTTGAGGCCAAAACGAACTATAAAATATAGTGAGATTATAGTTATTTCAACTATTTTTTTCTCTCAGTGTATATTCGTCTAACTTAATTGATATCGAATAACAAATTATCGTCTACACGATTGTCATTGTTCATGATAAATCGGCACTTTCGCAGATTCTGATCAATAGATAAAAAAAAAGTTGAATCTCGGCGTAATCTCTCATGTCGTTTTTTTTCGTAAACACGAGTAATTAATACCTGTTAGTTCCGATTTTTTATGCAACAGATTTAATATCCAGAATCGGGATATTATTGGATTATTTATAAAAACGCGGAGGCTATTCTTTTCCGCGTCCTAACATCACTCACTGCATGTAAAACTGTCTATTAGCGAGACCTATATTCCCGTATCTCATGGCTCACATTGAGGAATTGCGAAACGTGTTTTTATAGCGTGCTTACGGGAATAATTCATGAATAAGTGGTTAGGAACTAGCTGCGAAACGCCGCTCGGCTATTTCGCAGCGCCACGAATGTCCCCCTCGCGCGATAACAAGTATCTAAATGGCGCTAAGTCGCTTTAAGTAACGTGACCATTCGTAATTCTAGCGCGAGACATTGCCGATGCGCGTTAAGCGCGCCCTTCTCGGCTGCGTCCACGCTTTTCGGGCGCAATTTCGCCGGTAAAAATTCAACGAGATATATTTATTTTGCGCATGCCGTCTGAGATATTTCCATCGTGAAAAATACGAGTCACGCGTATTATATTGTACGAAGGATAAAATTCAACAAATTTTCCGCACACGCGCGTAATGATATTATACACGCCGGTGAAATTAAGGTAATTTAATACTCTTAGCGGTTCGCACGCGGACGTTTACGTGCGTGTGTGCGTGGACTAATGTTAGAGCGCTAATTCTGAGTACCGTCAGTGCTAACGTGTGTTACATCAGCGTATGAAAAGCTGCGCGCGGTATTATGGGATTAAAATCCTGCATAAAAATATTCCAGAATATAAAGAGAGATACCTCGGACATTGAACAACGGGTCGAGTTATGTTTAACCCATTGACCCGGTTAGAGAACCGCGAAAAGAAAAAAAGAAAGACGTTGAAGTGAATTTCTGTCTCTCCGCAGCGCTCCTTACACGCTACCGCACTCACTGGACAGCCTGAAGAATTCTCTTCGGCGAAGCCGAGGCAATTAGTTAATTAATTAGTAAAATTACGCGAAAGGGAATAAAAACGAGTACTTACGGCGCGGTAGGACGATCTTATTCAGTCTTTTATTCGCAATTCCGGCTCAGCTGCAGTCAGGCTAGAGTGGCTTTAACGAAAATGTTAGGTGGATAATGGCTTTTGCGGACTGTTAATTAGGGAATGAAAGTCACATGGGTCGCGGAATGGCATCTCGTAGGTAGGTTCGATCAGTCCCTCGTTTGAAGGATCGAGCGCTCGTCAGCCCCGATTGATATCGCGTAAATATTTGAACAGTAATTACGGTGAATATTATTATTCGAATATCTCCAGCGCGGTTAATCGAATAAATTCTAATGCGGCTTTTTCCTACATTAAAATGCTCGAATATCGATTTTCGCATTATACTTGTAGATTGATATCACATAGCGGCGCTCGAGACTCTCTCGATTCGCGATATAAGTGCCGGAATATAGCTCTGCAAAATTTGACGCGCACTACACATTCGATGAGCGCGCGCGTGCCGCGCACAGTGAGAACTTTTGGCAAATTTCTAGGAAACGTTATGTGAAGTTTGCGTATAAATTCTCGTTAGAAAAAAAAGTATTACATTTTTACTCGTTTTCTAGTTGATGTGCACGCGTGTGCGCGCGAAGTTAGTGTATAAATAAAGTTTGTTTCGTCCAAGAGATTTTTCCGAGTTCACATATTTGTCCGACATTCAAATAAAAAGGTAAGAGAAGGGATGTCATTGCCACGTTCTTCGGCAAAAAGATGCTGTAACCAACAGGGCGCCGACTTTGAGGTGTAATGAAAGAGTGCGTCCATTATTTCGTTTACATTAAATACCACTTGTTACGCGCCAGAGGCGTGTACAATGAGCCGAAATTGTTGGACAATTACGATCAAGCCACGATTTCGTCACGTCACGAAAAAAGGAGTGCGACGGGAGCGTTTTAATTTGTTCCTTATTGCCGCACTCTTTCGTCGCGTAATGAATCGAAGTAGCTGCAGCGGCCACTTGCGCTAAATGACCAAATTATTTGCCCACGTACTATCTTTCCGGCCAATTAGAGGTCGAATAACGTAACAATTGTTTCGCGCATGATGTTTGCTCTCGGATTCCACTGGAAATACATCTATTTGAACCACGTTCGCACGTGGCTTCCGCAACGTTCGAATTACATTCTATCAATCGAGAATTAATTGGGGGTTGCTTAATTAATTTTGGAAACGATAGAGGCCGTAGTTGTTGGGTTCGTAATAATTGTCGGTCGTAATATCGGTAGCCCAACACATTCGTCGTGTTCGTTCTTCAATAACGCCACACAGATGAAGTACGCTTTTTTGGCCGCATGAACGACTGTTCATAAATTCAAATGAATTGCTGTACTTATTTCACGCATCTGTCTTCGAGCAGATTGCGCGCCAGTGGTCACCCCTTTGTAAGCGTAATCGTAGGGACATATTCATCAGGAGACAGAAACACCCGGGGTTCCAAGCCCTTCTGCTCGACTGGTCCATATCGTACGTTAAGGCAAACCGGTTCTAACAACGCGAACTGTGACGAGAGGGTGAGTGGGCACGAAGTGAGGAAGTTTCAGGGAATGAAAGGGAGATCCCGCGAACAAAAAATGATTTATATACGGTGGACGGCGTGTAGGAACCGCGAAGGATCGACAAGAGGAAAGATATTGAAAACTATTCATCCTGCCTCGACTCCCTTTCTCTCTCTCTCTCTCTCTCTCTCTTCTCTCCCTATGAAATTCAAATCGATGCATTTATAGAGACCACGCGGACCCATCCGTAGCCGACATTGCTTACTCGGGGACGACGATGTCGGGCGAAGGAGGAGGCCGGTGGGCAGGGAGGATGGCGGCGAACAGGGGCGAGTGTGGGTGGTGGAAGGGGCGGAATAATCGCGCCGTTTATAAGCCGGTGGTGCGTCGCTCGGTGTTCCGGCTATGCATTAAGATGACGGATAACAGCCGCAGCTATGCCGGAAGGCTTGAATCGTCACGATGCGGATGATAACGACGCCTCTCTTCGGCCTTGTCGCACCGGTTTACATGTAATACGCGCCGCGGACATTAACTTTTAGTTTCCCTACTATCCGATACTCCGCACGTGCGTCGCATCGCGCTCTCGTCCGTTTATCATCGGAACGTTGGCGTTTCACCGGCCGAATTCGCGTCCGCATTTTCCTGTCACCCATTTCGATACATATGAATGATGATTGGCGTTATTTTTTACAACCGAGATAAACGCTAACCGAAAACAAATCGTCGTCGTTGCTTCTCGTTTTATGGAAATTATCGAGTCTTCTTTCCCGCGGTTCGGATTAGGCGTAACTGACATTCGGATTAATGATACTACAATAGACGCTAGTGGAACGACCGTTGGTGCTGCTAGCAGCAGCAACGGCAGCGGTAGCAGCCGAGCTATTGCCTCGGGATACAATAACGGGTTGACCGGGTGATCGAGCGTGGTCTTCTCAAGATTACAGTTTCCATCCGGAAACTATCAGCTGCTGAATTTTAATTGCGAAGTTTGGGTCCCTGCGCGATCGGTTTGGTTCTGCGCATCGAATAACTACGGCTCGTTAACTAATGCCTTGTGCTTAATTAGATTTCAAGTCGGAACGTCGATTATTGTTTCCTTATTCTGCCATCGTTCCTTCTTGTATAATTTTAAGCGTTTTGGTTTAAGCGAATAAATTCCTTAGTTACGGAACCGAGTATGTTTCTACGTAATTTGATCTATCTATTAATAATAACAGCGTTGCATTAATTATTGTTCAATTTTTCGATGCTCTTCCTTCCTGTGAAGTGACGCTCTTCGCAGAGAAGAAGGCCAAGTGGAAGAACGTGACGGTTCCGCGCGTGTTCGCCGCCGAATGTAAGATATAACATTACGCTTATTGCGCGCTCTCAACGTTTTATCCCTCGCGATGGATAATAGTTCTTCATTACGATAATGCTCGTCGATCGATATCCGGTATCCGCGACGTGATTCGGTTCGCCGATAAGCCGACGGTTTAACTGGCACTTAGGAATGAGATCGTTGTATTTCTTCTCGCCGAGCAACTTTGCTTCCCCTGCACTCATTTTAACGACGATTTATATTCTGACGACGACGACGACGGCGGCGGTGGCGGCGGCGGCGGCGGCGGCGGCGGTAGCGACGACCGGAACGGGAGCGAATTTACACGTCGTAGAGACGAGTTGCATCTGGCAGTCGCGGATCAATCTGAATTCGCAAACATCGTCGTCTCCGTTCCACTTCGGCTGCCTGCAGGCTGCCCGACTC